AATTGTTTGTGTTTATTTACTTCATTTATTTAAAATCTATTTTTGTGTGTCTACTTAAATTATTTATTTGTTTTTTTAGGAACATGAAAATGAATACTAATATGCTCACAGGTATGGGATTTATTTATTTTATAAAACTAATGAATCAAATCAATGTTCTTTTTTTTTAGACCTCTGTGAGATCATACATGGTTTGGGTGAAAGATTACCACGCAAAGATACAGTTGTGGTAATTCAGTCAGTATTAATAAAACAAATGATTTTGTTGATTTACCGAATTCGAAAAGCTGCAATTTTACTTAATCACCAGAATATATCAATCCAACATTTACTATATGTTTTGGAAAATCATAAGATCATCCTTATTCGAATTCTATCATACTATAGTAAGTATTAAAAGTAAAAGTATATATATAATATACCTAAACAAAATATATCAACAGATAAATCAAAACACTCCTAAATTATTTATAGAATATAGCCATTGATTTTAAAATACACAGCTAAGCCATAGCTTAAGAGTTTTTGCTGACTAAAATTAAGTTGTCAGCCATTAGATTTGCTGTATATGTTCACAGTAAGCACTATGTAAACAGGTTCAGCAAACCTAGCTACTGACAGCATACTTTTAGTCAGCAGAAACTCTAATTCTTTAGCTCATGATAGCTGTGTATTTTAAAATCAATGGTATTTCTAATTTACTAATATATATTATATTATTTTTATAGTGTTAAAAGATACTATCTTTAAACTCAATGCATTAAGTAATATTGATGAAAATAAGAAAAAAAATAAGAAACATAAGCAAGAGTTGATTGATAAAAATGTTGTAGAAAATATTACAAATTTACAAGATGAATTTGTAAAAACAGGTATTATTTATTTTATATTTCATAGAATAGTTTTATAAATAAAAAAATAAAAAATATGTAATTCAATTTACAAAGTTTTATAGATTATTAGTACACTTATATTATTTGTAACAGTGAAAACTAAAATAGAAATTTTTATCATTTGATGAATGATAAAATAATTTTTAGATCCAGTTACTGCTTTAACTGCAATTGATTTTACCACAAAAGACTTATCACCTAGCAATATCAAAGTCAAAAGTATTTTTAAGAAACTTAGGAATGCAATCGTGGATTTGAAGTTAAAAATAAATATAACTGAAGAAGAAGTAAGAAAATCGAATGAAATACGTTTGATCAGAGCTAATGATATATCAATTATACTAACACCTGAGTATGGCATTTTTTTGTTACTGTTTGTTGTATGTTAATTTTACTCATATTTATTTAWCGATTTTAGTGCATATGAAGGCTTTGAAATGTGCAGAAGAAAAAATTTTCATAAATCCAAAATAGGTGAACGGTTATTGTTTCAAGTACACAAAGCTCTCCCATGGGATATTACATACGATAATCAAGTAAAAGATGTTCTTCTGTTCTTAGCCAAAGTAAAGTTTTGATTAATAATACTGATTATAACAATTACCTTAAAAATTTAATTTAATTGTAATCACTTACAGGAAACAATTAACTGTCTTATTGATCGTGTATTTGAAAATAGAAAATGTACAGATATTTGTGATGAAAATAATTCATCCATAATCAAGGTAAAACTGATTTTGTATGATTATTAAAATTATTTCTAATGTTTTTTTGTATTTAGAAAAAAAAATATGGATCTATACTTGTTGATGAAATAATAGCTGTTATAACATGGAAATCTCCTTTGGAAGAAATTCACTACCCATATGATGAAAATGATCTGTTTTTTAATAATCATTTGATTTTTTAATTATAAAAAGTATTTGTATTTGTATWAWAAGTAAATTATTGATGTTTATTCTATAATATGATTTGTTTAATTTGTGAATATTTATAAAGTTTAAAAAACTTCTTTTACAACATTTTTTTTTTAAATTTTACATCTACAATATTTATTTTTGTATTAATAATAATAATTGTAATAGTATAAAATATTAATTTTTAAATGACTTATAGTGAAATATAATGATAGTATAATTTTAAATAATGCTTTAAAATCAGTTTTTCATTTTTGTAAATCTTCATAATTGGCATAATCGCATTAATACTGATAAATAATTGTATAATGTATTAATGTTTTTAACATCTAATATTAATATTTAATCATTAATTTAATTATATAAATCACAAATCAACTAATTAACTTGTATATTAAATTAATATTTATTGTTTCTCCAGCCTTACTAAAAAATTCAGATATTTCAGATGTTCCARGAATCAGGAAATGCTTTATTGCTAAATTGTATATAGTTTTTGAAAAACTGCTTTTATWTCTTCCTATTCAATGGATCTTTGTTTAGTTTCAAGATATTTTGTTATTAATAAGAAATTAATTCTCCTCTTGAGGAATTATTGAAAGTTCTTACATAATTTCTATCTTTTTCTAGTGTTTTATGAAATATTTTTAAACCACACTGTTCATTAATAATTATAGTGTTTTTGTTATTCATCAGTTGGCAATATTATATTTCCCATAATGTTATTCCCATTAATAATTCGGTCATTATTTATCGTTTTAACAATTGTTTCTTAAGGTTTTAAAATGCATATTTTTAAACCTAATAAGTCTAACAACGTCTATATTGGTAATATAGCTACCTGCTTATTAAATTCACATCATTGCCCAATTCTTCTAAAAGTTATGTTTTCATCATATTTAAATATATTTATAATGCCATAATGGTTTTGTTTATTATCACATTTCTAATACCTGATATTATTTGAATAACCTTACTGAACTCAACATATTTTTTTGCAAAAAGTTTTCTTGTCAGTATTTCAAATGCTTTTAACAAAAAATAAATGTTATATAGACGTCATAAATCGTGACTCCGTATAATTTAAATATACCATTGCCATTGAGAGAAAGCAGTATTTATGATATAATGTTTTAAAAATATTTCCACCATATAAAATTAAATATTCTTTTGTGTCTTAACTCCAAGGTCAGCTTTGCATATTGTCAGTGCCAGTGGCGTAACTTCAAAATTCGGGCCCGGGAGCGAGATTTTCAACGGGCCCCCCATCGTCCAGGTATATATATTAAGAAAATCCGGGGGAGTGTAATCACCTTACTAAAATAACTAAAAAATTTTTTTTTAATAAAAGATATTAATTTAATACTTCATATTATATACATACAAAAAAAAATTAGTAAACAGTTATAGCAGTTGTAACAAATAACAATTAACTCAAAACTTAAAACATTCTTCTGGACTTCTTATTTGCCAAAGTAGAAATA